TAAAGGTTTACTTGCTTGAAGAAATTCAACCCAACAATTTCCATCAACAAATGGTACTGACGTGCCAACAACTGCGGGAGAGAGATCGAACGGACTGTGGCTTCTCTTACCAATAGATAAGCTGCTTTTACGGTTAGTGACCTTCGAACTTCAAGGCTTTTCGCTTACGATCTTCAGCGTCGTGAAGTGACACTTGTCTTAGACAATTTAATTGTCCTCGAGTAAATGTTGGTCCCAAATAATAAACGCGTTTCACAGACAATTAATTATCGTAACTGCCACTCGGATAGATAGCGATTATCCTTCATCGATATAGGGATTAGCGAATTTCTACGCTACATCGATCAATTCAGGGAAACTAAGATAAATAGTATAGTGTATGTTCAGAGTAATTGCAATACTCGTTTTATTAACAAGATAATAACAAAGTGATGCTATGCGAACACATCGACTCTAGCTGAAACTTGCGCTGCTTTTATATCTTTCAATCTTACTAATAAATCTATTTTTAGCTGCGCTTGCTATTAACAGTAGAACCTGAATATAATTATACTGAATAAAATTATATTTATTTCTGGACCCGAGTCGGATGACTTGATATAATTATACTGTACAACCTTATAAAATTTTAAGTCCCCGTCTGACGCATAAACTTATATGGCCAATCAGATTCGCTTAATTGCTAACCTTCGTGGCATTGGATAATAGTTAGAATCTAGGAAGCGAAACGGCAAAAAAAAAATTTCACTATCAATGTATTATCTATCATCGCCAGCCACATGTATAATGAGTATGAGCATCAAAGTAACACATATAATAATATAACAAAATGCAGTAATAGCATACTGTATGTCTTTTTTAATATAATAATCCATTCTGGTTGGTCAAATAAATAGCACGTGGTTTTCAATTAAACTTTTATAAACTTATATTTATAAAAACCTCGGGGACCTTAATCTTAATATGATTTTATAAACTATCGCATCTTGACCCAAAACTCGATTCGTTCCGTTGAACTGGATTTCTTCAAATCAGCCCCAGTCAATTGAACAAAAACTGTGCAAGTCACAGTTGTAGACGGTTATTACCCTGACTGATGCAATATATGGATAGTTTGACATGAGGTCACCCGTTTATAATACCCGCCAGAGAAATTATCTTCAACTTAATTATTATGAGCTTGTGATATTAATTTATTCTAAAATAAATACATTAATAAAGCCTTTTTTGTATCGAAATACTAGACAATCAAATTTGGCATGAGAGATGACGATGAAGTTAAGATAGTTATGACGAGAGGCATTTGAAGCCTTTGATTAGGAAACGCTTCCAATCTATCATGACGACATCGATATATATATTAAAATGTCCACCTGGCGAAAAGCGCACACAAATGACAGCTTACACAACGACACTCGCTAACTGTTAAATAGTCTTGAATATAGGTTGTCGTGTCTTCCTTGGAATATATCAAGGAGTGGCGACGTCTGCGCTGCATCCTCAGATCTAAGCGTATTAGTTTCTTTCAAGGTCGTTTCAACGTACAATTGACAATCTGTCAAAAGCCTCTGTGAATAATAGGGTCCCACAATATTTAACCGAACGGCAGCAGAGAGGATTGCACGTGCAAAGAGAAAAAGAAAAAGATGTTGTGTACGCTCTTTATCAATAAACAATATATGATAATCATAGCGTTAGTTATTCATATAACAAATTCATACTTTTGCAATCGTGCTATTACGTTCCATACTCACCCAAAGTCAATCCAACCAATCTAGCCACAAGACCAAAACAAACGGGAAAGTGACCATCTACACTTCTTTTCCTCACTTCTTTCTTGAACTTGCTCACGACGTTGTTCCCCTGATCATCTTCTTCTGCGAAAGACTTGCTATACAATGTTAGCATCGCCACTCCCTGTGCTTTCGATGCTCTCTTGGTGACATTATTGCTCGTACATGCATCATATAGCTTATCTAATCTCTCCAAATGCTCATAACACTCATGTTCGTCAGAAATACTTTCAGCAGCAATGTACGCGTCAGACACGAATGGTAGAGCAGAGTAAGCGTAATTTTTAATACTACTAGAGAGAAAATTCGAAAGTGAGGTTATGTCGTGGACGTTGCCAGAGTGAATGGCAGATTCAAGACCTGAAGAGGCGACAAAACCCCCAGTGGGTAAGGCAGAGTCTGAGAGTTGCCAGAGAAGCCAATCTTCTTTATGGTTTGTCATGACATCAGGTAGATGGTGAGGCGTGTGTTATGAGGAGACGAAACGGCCTTCATTCTTTTAGTATGAGCGGTTTTTTGGTTGCAACTTAGTAGATCAGTCAGATATTTATTTGGGTAATACGAGCATATCAGACTTCCAATTTAAGACAAACTTTGATACGATTGGCTAATCAAAATATGAATATTTCAAGTGCGATAATTAAACAATGAAAACCGTTGATAATAAATGTGGCCATATGGAAGTGAGATGACATTTGATTTAGTATAGCTGTCGGAAATTTTGTGACAACGCACAGCAACATGTCGCGAAATACTGTAAGTGACAGCACAAACGCTAAATCAATTGTTCTTCATAGTATAATAATTTATAAAAGCATGTCGTTTTTCTTGCGACGCAAAAGATAAGTAGCGCTTCCTCCATCGTCAAATCTTCATGTTGTGTGAACATCGAACGTAAAGTTGTTATTCAAATAAAAACAATAATACTATTGATCTGAGTAATATTCCTTTATTAATTATATACATAATTTAAATTCTATCGTCAAAATAATTGATTATTAGACCGGACACTCTAATAAACGGCTCACTTAAGCTGTAACGGAATAGCATTGATAGATCAAGCTAGTAAGCTGTCCGCTGATCAATTACGTGAATAACGGAACGAGAGTTCATAATTAATTATCGAGACGATTATTGTTTAATTAGTTTAGTAAAGACAAGTGACAGATACCGACTAGTCGACAAACAAATCGAATAATTGTTGTTATTATTTTATTAATGGTACTCTTATTTGTATTTACGAGTGTTTGAAACTCGGATAGGGAGTGAAAAGCGCGCATAAATAATAAGGTCACTTGAAGGCTTAATTCAGTCCTAATTGTAGTAAGGGCGATAGTACGAGCTAAGCCTGGTAACATCCCCCGGTCGGCGAACACACCTACGCAAAAGATAAATCGCTCTCCCAAAGACCTCATTTAATTCCCAACCGTAGCAAGTTATTTTGGTCAATAACTTTGTAACTTGCGTCATTTGTTTATTTGTTTACACTTTTCATTTTGTTATTAAAAATACAACAAGGTTCTGATTGACGTCGATAACCACTCTGTGGCCAAAATGGTACTCAAGATGCCTACACTTTACATAATCAACTTCTATTTTGCCTTCTAAATATTAAATATACGATATTAAGAAGCTTAAAAATCAAAGTTTTTAGGAAGAGATTGGAAAAGGCATCTATGTTAATTTAATTCAAAGCATGCCGTTGTGTAAACGGTGACTATTCTCTCCTGAATTTCTGCATTACTCCGACGGTGCAGTAACACCAGCGCATGGCGTCACAGCAGCGACACGTAGCATCGACGCAATAATAATAATAATAGAAAAGTAATTTGGCAGCGATACAGCAATTATTGCTGTAACAATGGCTTAGATGAGTAGTAATAGCAGCTAAAAATAGATCAATTAGTCCGCTCAAAACCGTACCGTCGGCTAGATTGCTACCATTCAAAAATTTAATTCCGCGCGGAAAGTGCCAAATGACGGAGCGAGAAGTGGAGAGATATAAGTAGCGTAGATTTCAGTTAGATAGAGGGGAGTGCATGTTTAGAATGTTCTAATAACCTTCGATTCCTTTATTGTAAATAAACGAGCAGTTTTTTATACTCTGAAATACATTAATCCCATCTTAGGAGCCGACAGAGTTACTCGACTACAATTAATATATCCATGATTAGTGTCACTCTACGATGGGAAGGTTTTCGTAAGTGATTTAACAAGGTCACTAACTGTAACCCTAGAGGAGGAGACGCCACGCTTTGCCGAAGCTAACTAAATACCAAGTGTCGATTATTACCTGCTCTCCCGTGATAGTCGGCAGGCACACCGTCAGCATTGAATAAAATAATGGGTGGGAATGGTTTAAGATAAGCTGTAATGAGTAGCAATAAGTAAGACAATGTGCTGTACTATGAAGAACATAGCATGTTTGTCTGATTCGTCGCACAATTAGTAAAAATGTTATTCCGAAAACTTTTCTCGCGCACTGTAATTGTGTGTCAAAGCCAATACCTTTCGTTTTGTTTACATTTTGCAGTTGCGTAACCTTTTCAGAATGACTTCAAGCATGCAGTCAAGCTGCCAAGCATTTCTTGAAAAATATGCACCTGAAATTATAGACTAATTTGCTAATTTTAAATTTTATTAAATCTTGGGCTATTTATTGTTAGATCAATTGGGAGTTCTATTTCAGAAACTCTTTAATTAGTTTGGTAGAATCAATAAAGAGGCCGTGTGAACAAGTGCTAGAAAATAATGGCGATCACAATAAAATGCTGACTGTGCTGCAGAAACGAGCAAGTTGGTTTGTCCTTTCTTTCTTTCCTTTTTTCTTTTTTTTGCAACCCCTGTTAATACTTAATGAGGACGGCTTTTACTGTATACACTGTCGATCTTAATCAACAATGTCTCACAACTCGGCCGTAGCTTGTTTACCTAAAACAGGATAATTAATGCAGTTGTATGGTTATGGTTATTATTATGGCATTTCATCGACCAGATCCTGCAAGAATTAATGCAGTTGTTATGGTTATGGTTATTATTATGGCATTTCATCTACGCCCAAACATTCAAAATGCGACATGTGATAAACCTGCATAAATTCTTGTTTATTACAAATGAATACTAGTACAAAGTCTTTGTTCACAAGATACCATTCAACATTATTCTATTAAATTTGTTAAAAAAGTCCATTTCATATGTGTCTCTAAATTAATGTGCATAGCCTGCATATATGTTGGCGCAAGCGTATCTGGTGCCTATAATAATGTAATGGGGTTGGGTTAATATCAAGAACAGTTATCAAATTACAAACATGCTGCAGATTGTAATTTATCCAAAACTTACCATTGGGATAATGAATAACGACTGACCGTCCAAAAATTGTATCAATCGGATTTTCCCATTTCAAATAAGGATCTTGATACTCTCTGTACAATATTTGTCCAGACGAAAAACCTGGGAGCTTGCCATGTTTACCTAATTGAACACATATAATTATACACATCAGTCTGTCGGTATTTTCTATCATTAAAATGCAAAACGTGTCTTTTCTATATCTCAACTTACCACTCAAATCACCTTCCTGATAAGCAGAGGCAATGGCAGGATCGCACGGTGCACCATCCGGATATCCGCTGGGCGATAAATGGCCTCCAGTAAGGGTACAATCGCCGCTATCCGGTACCGGATACTGATGAATGTGATACGCATACAGACCGGTAAGATTGGTCAACCCAGAGTAAAATTGAACAATAACATTTGTAAATGTTTTGCTTCCATCTTCACGGAAGTTGATCGTTCCCGTAACGGCTCCTGTAAATTGGGCATAAGCAATATGGGTGCTCGGATATGATGAATAATCCGCTGGCAAGCTCGATGTGAGAAGCGTGAAGGACAAGAGAAGAGCAAGTATTGAAAGTAGCATGTTCATAATTGATATTGTTCACAGTGGGTGTGGTAATTGAGTGGTTGCTCTTGAAGTTCTGCTGTTTATACCGATCCAAAAGGAAGAAGCAAAACTACCTAAACGTAGGCAGGGAACGGCCTGCTTTTATCTCAATCCTCCAACTATGGCTTTGAAGGCTTAGTACATACCAACTTTGGTTGACTTTGTTAGTGACATGTCTATAAATAGCAAACTAGTCTGAATATACCGGCCTTACAATTCAAAAGCTTAGAATTTAAACGGTCACAATGTAAGCAAGCCTCGCTAAGCCTCGATCAGTGTGACAACCATATTATGATGGAAAAATTGCTACATAACGATAACAATAAAGGTTAGTTAGATGTTGTATTACAAAGGCCCTGATACAGAACTTCTCCCGAGTCGTTTGCGAAGAAACGTTTGCATTAATCAATAAAGAATAAAGTCAACAATAACTTCCTAGACAATAAATAGCTTGAAGCATTTTAACCGGCTTGTAAGCCTTCATTAGGAGGCACACCGTAGATTCCTTTTGGCTTTAATAGTTAAGGTTTGATACGAATTACCTTTTTTCATAACCAATAAGCAATTCCATATTACTAAACTGATTGTTAGAATCAGCTTTTAAGTTTTCGCTCAGTTGCGTACTATTCTATTTATATACACTACATTTATTGTTGCTTTTTTCCCCTCTCAATTCATTGGCGGGACATTTACCTTAACTTTTGTTAAGTTAACACGAGCTTTGCATTTTACGTCGAAACAAACGCTTGTTTGTATTATACTACAAACGACTTGTCAGTCCGAGTGACACTCTCCCTATTACGACAATACATTTTCAACTTCCATGGGATCTGAAATTGTGGTGGCGCATGCGTATCGCAATGTTCATAGTTTACCCGCTGTACATAGCCTGATTGATATGAAGAATATTCGGTATATCCCGAAATTCAGGGTCCCACCACGACGATTAAAGCAGGCCGTAATGCCTGTCTACAAAGGGCGACTTGTCTTTTTTCTAAATATATTTCATCGTGTGGCTTGGTAACGTTATCTGTTACACTAATTTAAGAAGTTTCCGTAAATGGATTTGGGATTAATAAGCAATTAGATTTTGTTTCACGTGGTCCTCATCGAGATGTTAATCAAAAATTTCTTTCACTCAGCGTATACAGCATTCCTAATTCAAGACAATGGTATATATATCGATATCTCCATTGCACACAGATATCAGTAGTTTGAACGCTGGCTGCGTTGGCAAATCTAAAAAGCCCCTATTTTTATCAATCTAGTATCAAGACTCATATAATTAGAGATTGCTCATCGGAACGGATAAACATTTAGGTTTGATTATGATGGGGGCAACAGTAACGTTTACAACTTTAATTCGGTTAAATATAAATATTTATTATTGTATTATATATTATAATAAGAAGAACAATTGAGATAGAGATTTCTCACAAAGCCACACAATCGATCTATTGGTACTTATAATACATTAGCGCAGGCATATCGGGTACCTATATAGGAAATAATATGATAAGAATAATTGACAAGCAATGATAACAAATTTAAAGTTGCAATTTATCTAATACTTGCCGTTGGGATAGTGAATGACAATCGATCGTCCAAGTATTGTAGCATTAGGATCATCCCATTGCAAGAAAGGATCCTCATACTGTCTAGACACTACTTTCTTAGACCCTGGAAGTTTTCCGTGTTTACCTAAAAATAGTATTTTCATTTAATTGACGTTTTTATTGTTATACTACCTACCGCCCTCACATTGATTCGTAACTTACCACTCAAATCACCCTCCTGACAAGCATAGGCGGTGGCAGGATCGCACGGCGCACCGTCCGGATATCCGTTGGGCGATAAATGGGCTCCAGCCAGGGTACAGTTGCCACTTTTTGGCACCGGAAGCTGGTGAATATGATACGGATACAGACCGGTGAGATTGGTCAACCCAGAGTAAATCTTTACGGTAACCGTTGTAGCTTGTTTCCCCGCGTCTTTATAAAACTGGATGGTTCCTTTGACTCGTCCATCAAATTTAACCGAAGCATATCGACCCTTTTGCGTCGGCAGAGGCGAGCTCAGCGTCAGAAGCGTGAATGATAGGAAAATAACAAGTACTGCAAGGAAAGATTTCATCGTGCGTGGTATGAAAGAAGCCGACAGAAAAGAGTAATAGAGACAGGTTGGCGATTGATTTGGTTATGACCGTTCTTATACAAAATGTGGCTTGGGAAAACTTTTGCTTCAACCTGACAATACTCTAAATAAAGCATAGATCTCCATTACTATCTCTTGCTGCGACGAGAACAATGGTTGTTAATTATGGGGGTTGATTCATTCGATAATGCAATGGATCGAACGTTTTTGCTACTGGTTTGTCTATAAATAGCAACGCGCCTTGAACAAATACATGTTTTATTTGAATGGAGAAAACCTTTAATAGCTAGCTGCTTACTCACGAACCCCTGAACGACAGTCGATCTGGCGTGCTTGGATGGTTATTTTTAAAAGTTATCATGTTGCACAAATCGGTACCTTGATCAAATATTACTAAGAATTTTTTGATTATTTTTTAAATTTGGAGCCTAATGCCAAGAGTAATTAAACAAGTATTTTTAGAAATAGCGTATAATTACTCAAAAACAGATGCAAATTAGATTGTTTGTAATGTGCATTTTCTTATCAAACTTTGCCATTCTTTAGTATTACTCTATTATTAGCCGTTTAAAATGGGTCACGCATTTTATATTACGTCTCGCTTGTCTAAAAGAAACGGTTTGCGTCAAAATAATAAACGCACGTCTGTCGACATTTTTAAATTGTCGGAGTAAGTAGCAATTTATTTACGTGCGGTGTATCTCACATTTGGTAGATCCCCCCATATTAAGCTAGCGTATTGCGGTTTAAACCGTGGGGTTTCAAATGTCATTTCCAACAGCCTTTGGCAGCCGTGGAAATGTCGCTACTGTATCGTACGTACGTACAGTCAGTGATGTCATAGTGCATAGTTCAGTAATGACAATCAACGACGTGAACGTGATGATGGCGGATTAACAAGACATGGATCAACCGCCCTTGATCGCTATATAGCTGTCTGTGCTTGTAAATCCTTTATCTAAACGCCCTTCAGCACGCTACCTGTGCAAGTGAGCGAGTAAACATGTTTTGCTTATGTTTGCATTTCGTTACTTACTCTAGTTGAACCGACTAAATATCATTACCCTTTACTTTGCTGCTGCCAATTTTCACTTTACAATATTAATGATATTGTGCTTACCCTATCATTGCAGTGGCCCGGACATAAAGCGAATCAATAAAAAAAGGCCTCACAACCATGAGCGGAGGCAGTCTCGATTGACATTCGTGAAACCTGTGCTCATATTACACACTCTGAGTGTATAGTTATTACACTATACATATCTTGTGTTGTAACAAAGGGTCACCATATGTTCGCAAGGAGGGACTTGTCACTTGGTCCGAGACTCTCTCTCTATCGCTACGTAAAGTACGTGAGTGGCTGAAAAGTAATGCGAATAAATATGACTGTATTGAGCACAGTTTTACAATTTCCTGAAAGCGTCACTTTTAATTAACTTGAGATAAAAAATCTGACATGCATCAGCCACTGACATACGCCAATAACGGACAGAAAGGCATTAAAAATGAAGCATGCTCCGAACAGGCCTCGCAAAATTGTCACAAAAATCAACAATTACGGATCGAGCAATTGTTAATAATAATCGTCATATAACAACACAAAAATTGGTTAAATAAGTTGGTTTTTCAGAGGGAATAAATTGGTCACGTTCTTCATCGAGAGCTCAGCCTGAGAAAATTTTACAAAAAAAATAGGTTCCATGCTTTATCATGATAAAACTGCACCACATGTTTTGAAAATAATATCTTGTGCCAATTACTTCCAATATAGCAAATGAGGACTATCATAGATCCTTTGAGGATTGGCGTAGGAAGCTACAACTTTATAGATAGAGATGGTACTACTTTGTTACGTTAATGTTGTAACATGAATTTCTAATTAAAGATTTTTTACTTTTTAGCCACTCCACGTGTATATTTGCTGAAATGTGGCTCTCGAAATAGAGGACTTTTAATCTGGAAGTGTGTTTATTCTAAACGATAATACTCTGTCGAGAACATGGCAACCATAAAAATCTTCAATACGCAACAGTAACGTGTTTCTGACGCGTTGAAAATTAGTTATTTCAATAACGCTGTCACAAATCGATAACGAAGAACGTGACATAACTAAGAAGACCTAATATAATTGACAATCAATAACAGTGAAGATAATAGGCTAAACTACAAGGAAATATTCTAATTGATTTGAGACATGTTGTACAAGTGCTCTCGATATAAGAGCCCAACAAGTTCGTTTCTTATATCGAAGGATTCTTAAATTGAGAGCCACTTGTATAGAAAATAGAGTACTTGGATTTCCGTAAGTTATCTATCACACAACGATATGTACACAGTCAGATCGGCCAACAGTATCAAAATCACGTGATCAAATATATACATTTAATTAAACCGTTTATTATTAATATTAATACATTAATATAATTACATCGCAAAATAATCTTGCAGACTAGCTTGTCTTAGAGCATCGACTTGTTTTCTTCTTATCTGCCGTTGTAAATCTTTCATTCCTGACAACACAGAACTGCTTACACTCACGTTATTGATATTTTCTGATCCCATTATGTTATGTCGCAAGCTTTTGTTAACGATGTCAACGAAGACAGAGGGATATCAATTACCTTTATTTTTATAGAAATTTCACAAATTTATAACGTCTACATCTTAGTGTTTTGATCGTATGATTCTAGCGACGTGTTTATTGTTTTAATCGTATGACTTTAATCGTATGATAATCTAGTACATGTTTAGCTCTTTGATTGTATGATTCGAATTGCATGACATATTTATCGTATGATTATAGTGCTCAGGCCTCATTGAGCCCAACACACTTACATCCCTAGTGTTGGACAGGTTAACTGGAATGAAAATTTCCACCAACATCGACATTGACATCCATATTGCTCAATCAATATGGGATATGATTTTTGCAGATGGCACACAATCACTATTCTCGATCTCTCACTCACACAAGGTTAATACGATCCCTGCAATCAGCAGCCATGCTCACTCTCTGGAATGCCTTTACTACAAGGGCTTTCGGACATGAACCCACTTTCCCCCTTTCATACTGACATCATCAACTCTATCTTCTCTACCTCTGCTCCCCTGGGTCCCCCCAATAGAATACAATCACTCATTGATATATCTAAGAATAGATATCTTCCCCCCTCCCCCAATAAATCTGGTTTATGGGCTTTTATTCTCTTCTTCTGCATGTATGTAGATAGGTAAAGACAGCCTAAACTGGGCTTTAGCGAGCACCTCGTTGTGAATAAAGTTCCTCGCGATAAGTAATTATACTGGACAATTAATCATCGACGGGGTGTGGTCCACCAATTACCGTATACGTCTTACAAATTGTCCCGTGAAACAACCGACTTATCGAGACCATCCAACTAAGCCGTTGGCCGACTTATCGAGAATTTTTAAATAGGGAGAAAATTTTTGGCCGACTTAAGCCAAAGCCGAGATTTTCATATTAAGCAACCGTTGAACTTTTTAACGGATCGCCAAAATAGTCGATCAGAATATAAAAAATTTTAATATCGATATCTGATGGCGGAAAATATGTAATGGTTACTCTTACGTCAATGTCAAAATCATATATCCATTGTATATCAAATAAAGGTAATTGCGTTTCACTTACATTATAAGTTGTGAGAGAGTGCAGGTGACACATCACATGCGAGACATTCGTCCATAAAAACGAACAATACATAGCCAAGACCCGCTCAATCATTGAGAAAAGACGAAACTGAGTATTGAATATATCTGAAAGTGTGCTATGGCCTCGGCTCGTTTAACGCTCTGGATAGACATAATGCTGCAATGAGAAAAGCACTTGTCCTGTCCTGGAGATATCTGTCACATACCGACCCAAGCTGGCTGATTCACATCTAAACTGTGGGCAAGCTTGGTATGGTCTAGGAAATAAACAATAGTATGAATGAATGGAATAACAAGAATTCTCGATTATCGATGCTTGGTTCTCGTGCAGAACGTCTCTGGGTATTGTCCACCATCCCAGCAATACATATATTATACAGTACGTGATAAAGTTTGTTTGCACTGGAAATCGTGGAGAAAGCAACCTTTACAAGTTGTAAAAAAAATTGGAAAATATTGCATATATAACTGCTATCCTTTTTACTTGTTTCTTAATATTCAAGACATCAAATAACATTCTGGAAAGCCAATATTCACCTCTCATCCACATACGTATAGCGAGCATATGTGTATTAGACGATTTCTTGCATTGTATGACGGTAATAAAATCATTCACTTTCAGCGATACGGAAACGAAAGATCTAGCAAAAAAACGGTCGAAAAGTGAAAGATAGAGATGATAAAGAGGTTTTTCAGTAATAAATACTACGTTATGTATAGTATTTTCAAAGATAATTACTATTGTTACGTATGGATATAAAAGGAGATTGAAACATGATGACACTTGGGAAGCGAAAGATGATTTGACGATGTAATGTGGTCTGATTTTTTACACGGACAATCGGAATAACTACAACATAATAAATAAATATGGCCTCCAAAAAGGACTTTTTTTTTTTCGTCCAGCATCAAGCTATATAAAATATTGCATTCGATGTATAAAGATCTCATGGTTTTTTAGGCATTTTGACATTATCATTACTATTTTCTAACACATCTTTGAGACTGGATTTCATTACTCTGTCCTTGCCCACATGTGATTGCTCTTGCCAACTGGCTTCTTTCCTTATAGTTTTTTAACTATTAAATACTATAGAAATTTCTTATCTTTGCAATTTTCGTTGTTATGACCATGACGCTCACGCCGCCGCCAATTGACCACATAGACTACCGATATCCACTGTATATCGGCGAATGGACCAAGTCGCTCCCGTCTGTCGACAGCCAGTTTGCCACAGATAACCTCGACGAACCACACCTGAAACGTCGGTTAACCATACTCAAACACCATCCCGAAATCGAAAAGCTTTACGGATACGATTCATGTACAGTATTGATCGCACTCGTTGCCGTATTTGTTCAGCTGTCTGCAGCTTTTGTTTTTGGCCGGATTCTCGTCGATTGGCATTGGACAATGTACATATACGCCTATGTGGTTGGAGGTTCGGCGTCGCAATTACTAGGAACAATAATCCACGAGGCGGCTCATGGACTGACCGCCAGGACGATGTTTCAGAATCGGATAGTTGGGTTGATTTCTAATATTGGTATCCCGGTTCCTCTTGCAATGTCGTTTCGTCGATATCACCTCGAGCATCATGTGAACTTGGGTATAGTTGGAATAGATCCAGATCTGCCAATGGAATGGGAGGCCAAGTTCATTGGCGGTAATGCGATAATGAAGTTTTTATGGCTGAACATATATCCCATACTGTATATTGCACGTGGAATTGCGATACAAAAGTATCCACCACAACTGTGGGAGTATTTGAACATAGCGTTTAATATTGTGGCCAATGTGTTGATATATGTCGCATGCGGTATGCGAGGGTTTGCCTATTTGTGTCTATCTGTATGGTTTGGATATGGGTTACATCCGGCTGCCGCACGTTTGATACAAGAACATTATACTTTCGACGATGGGCAAGAGACCTATTCGTACTATGGAATTCTTAATTATTTATTCATGAATAGCGGATACCACAACGAACACCATGACTTTACAAAGGTAAGCAAGCAAGACGAAGAGAGTAGGGGGTGAGTGGGGAAAAAGAGAGAAACGGAGTGAACCGAATCGAAATATATATATATAACTGAAAATACTACAAAAGTTTTGCATTGTTGTCATTTGCGGTAGATCTTGACGATGCCAATAATGGGGAGGTATAGATTAAAAATAGTATAGATGCATATTTAATTATCATTACTTGATTTAACGCTATCGATTGGGCCATCTCTTATCAACCAGATCCCGTGGTCACGTCTTCCGGAAGTACGCAAGATAGCAAACGAGTATTATGAAAATATGGCCTATCACACTTCATGGTTAATGGTGCACTGGAACTTTATCACGAAGACCCAATTTGGGCCGCAAAGCCGCGTTAAAAGAACAGCTGTCAGTCAAAAACGGGGACGGAAACTCTTGGGCTTGTTGAAAGAGGCACTAAATAAAGAGGGAAACCAACAGTCGATGTGAGACGAGTCGAGGGAACGAGTGTAAATGTACGACTTGCAAACTAACGACGAGTGGGAAATTGTATCAAAGATCGACTGCGATGATGGTGCCTTTTATAGAGTTGAAGACGTTTTTTTCGATTCTTTTCTGCTTATATACGTTCTGCTTTGGGTAAATGCAGCAAGTAAGAATGGTACGAGCTGTCGGTATAAAAACACAGGTTGACATCTTTGATGAGATAATTATGTCGTGATGATTAAACTACATTTAGAGGTATTGTTTACTTATTATGTACAAGAGCGATAGGGCATTTCGACTGAAGATGTTCATTAAAAAGCTAGTGGCTAGTCATGTATTTATGTATTCGTATGAATTAGTAATGTTTATTTGATAAAACGATATAACAATAACATTGCGTTATTGGTACGTGCGACATATTAATTGATATCACAAGAAATATTAATTCTAAACGTGTAAACTTTGTTTCTCTTAAAATTTAGTTAATATATCCACAACAAATGCCCCCTGACTTGGCGCCCCTTAATCTCGTAATTGTTAATACAAATTTGTCCCCAGTATATTAACTCTAATCATGCAACCCCGAAAGAGTTCGTACAACATCTAAACTGTTGTACTACTAGCAGAAGACTTAGTATTGTCCTTTGGATGCAATGCCTAAATAACGTGGGCATATATTTTCCCCATGTAAGAAGCCCCCCCTTTGCGAAAAGGGAGCAAAAAATATTAATAAGAACAACTTTTTTGCAAACAACATTTATTGATTGTCGATTATGTAAAAAATGTATACAAATCGAATACAAGTAGTTTCATTAATTACAGTCATGCAGCTTTCATTATAATAATGTGGGCCCCATGCAACTTTTATTAACCATTCATATAAATCATGCAGTTTCCCGTACTGACATATTGTGTCACCTCTGCAAAAAAGATTTTCGGCCGGAAAACCGCACGAATTCCACCGATACTGTTTCAGCCAATCATTTGTGCATTATTTGTGTATGTCGGCTCCATAAATGGTTAGTAGCAAACGCGTGCGGACAATAGATAGGTTACACGCTTCCGATTTGGTATTCTCATAATGATGATTATCGAAAATTGGAAGTGATGTGTTGTGTTGTACGTTTGTACGCTCTAACTTTTTCTAATCACCCAGTACAGATAAGTATTAACGGATTATCACATTGATTTTAGTTATAAGGACGAGTTTGTCTGGAATACTGGCAAATTGGTGGATTGGTCAAGATTGTCAACCTTTTTGGGCGCCGTTGCGTCTGCGGACTATTATATCTTGAAATTTGAGATATAAGAAACGTTTCTGCTCGACAGTCTTTGGCATTCTTCCGTTCATATTCCTCTTTCTTTAATAATTTGGTGGTTAAGTAGCATTAGTAGTCGCTGGCCGATGCATTAATATTTATATAGTACATTCAATATATAATACTCTGCACATTCCCCGTTCTCTCGTCCTCCCACGGCTCTAATTTGCTTACTGAACCAAATTATTAACGTAAAAAACAAAAAAAAAAACAACTGTATTGAACGAAACAATCGATTTCAAAAAAAAAGAAAAAAGAGTATCGATACAATTCGTGGCTTGGCTTTTCCAACAAATTACAACACAATCAACCGAAAAGTCTATCCATGTTCACGTCGTTGTTCTTGTATCCTGACACAGTGTCCAGTATAGCAATAACAAAATCGATTTCATAATGGTGAGATTGGTCAACAATTTCACTCGAATCTGCACTTTTGACGACAATCAATCATGTGTGTGCGACTTCCGCGTGAACATTGCTGGATGTGCAGAGGAACCATTTCTACGTTTTTCATACTGGATATTGCTGATCTTAATTGTGACGACAATGCTTACTTCATTGGTGACGCTGGCCTATCGAATACTTGTCAAACGCCAGTCATTGTTCTTTCCACCATCTAAAGAAAGAGGAATATTACGACCGCGACCTGCAGATACCTTTCATGTTATGGCTTGTTTATTCTGTTTGCGTAAGTATAACTAACAAAGATGAAACGAAGAATGAGTGCGTGCGTGCGATTGAAAGAAATTGCAGATGGCATTGGTGTCAGTTTGATCTAACATGTTCTCTTCCCCTTCCCCCTTTAGTCTCTGGTATTGATATAATTTTTCTACTAAGGGAAGCCTATAATAACATTGCAGTGGCAGAAAGTAAGTACATGGTTACGCATTATTCGTTCTTATTGCAACATCTGTCTAATCACCATCTTCCGATTCTAAATTAGTCGGGTATGTATTACCTCGTATACTCACTCTATCACTGTCGACATTATACCCAATTAGTCTGAGTAAGTTTTGGTTTGAACAACCACGTCAGTTCTCCACTCGTTCATCGATGTAATCTCACCAATAACACGTCCTCTTCCCTCCTCTTCCCCAATTCTAGTTTACTCAATAGCCTCGCTCGATCCTATAGCCAAGAGCCAGATACGATGGACACACAACACTTGCATGCTTGATATCATAAGCATTAGCGTGATACTCGGTCCGCTTGCATCTGTGCTGCCAATTGCGTATTTTACTGGTCACAGCGCTGACACCAATCATTTCAAAAGTGCCAATAATATACTCAAACTGCAGTTTTTTCTCATCGGCATCTGGGACTTGGCTTATACTCTTGCAATGATACTCGTATGGTACAAGCTAAACAATGTGTTGAGAGATTACGCAAAAAGCTTGAGAGAAATTCATAGGAAAGGTGTTTATTATCAATGGAGAGTCATGGAGTTGAAAAGCTTTAAATGGAGGGTGAGTTTGTTGAATCTTTTCCAAAGAGATACGATCTTGACTGGTGTATAAAGCTTTTGTTGACCGTCTTTTTACTGAATGATCTCGTTCTATTCCCTCTTTCCAAAATAGCTAATAGGAGTATTCGCCCTGTTGACTTGCATTTATTTCATTGACAGCATTTCGTGTTTCGCTTTTGTTTTCATTGCCAAAAACCCCTCGATCTGGAAACAAGGAACTGCCGTATTGTTCATGATACTTTGGAATTACGTGCCTGTAGTTGTAATTGCTGTTGTCCAAATAATCTTGTTTTGCCAGTAAGTAGGAAACCGCTTTATTAAAATGTGTCTGCTGTTTGTAATCTATTAATAATAACCTTGCATCGCTTCTTCATCAAATCGTATTCCCCTATCGACGTAAAGAAAAACGACCTTGGTACCCTCCCAGGCACTACAGCGCGCTTCCTCTCACCGATCTCACCGAACTTACCGCTCTTCACGTCGTTTCCCGTCCGTTTATGAGACGTCTACTGCAGCAAGGCCAGGTGGATCTAGATACGACGGTCGTTGGCCAATGCCCAGCTGGGTCGATCAGGATGAAGAAAACATAACGAACCAACCCGATATTTCAATCGAGATACCGCTGGACCCAATACATGCTGGGCATGCTAACGTTGGGACATCGTCGTCATCAGCAAGAGATAGTAATCCATCTCCATTTATTTCTCCGTTGAGGGGCAGCAACATTTGGGATATAGATTACAAGAACAAGAAGAAGACTTCGAACTCGGCATTGTCTGATACTTTCCGTCGTGGGAAACTTGGTAAAGGTGTGGCTAGTACATCCACAGTACAGTTTGATGATGGATCTGGAACTGGGTTGCCTTTGTCTGCAGTTGCAATCGGATTAGATGATGCTGCGACGGAAGATGAAGGTAATCGAGCTCCTGAAGAGATCGAAGAGTCCAAGGAGACTCAAGAAGCCACCAATGATAGTGATGTTGAGAAAGATGAAAATGGGAATGGAGGAAATGGAGGAAATGGAGGGGATGGAGGGAATGGAGAGAATGGAGATGAAAGCGAGGATGAGATTGACAGGAAAGTATGGCTTGTACAGAAGCCTCTTCGTGCTGTCCTCAGGGGTGAACATCAGTTGCGTGACGTCTAATGTAAATGTATAATATACGTACATACATACTTGTTATTTAATTTCAACTCCATAATAATAGTCTTTAATTTTGTTTTCTCAAGGTTTTTGTCATGGGAAGGATGTCAGTTTTGAATAACTGATTTGTAGATATTTGGTAATTGTTCTCGTAGTAAAAAAAAAAAAAGGGCTTAAATAAATTACGCGAGAATTTGGACAATAAAAAACGGAAGCAATCCTGTTACTCGTAGGACAATATTGTGATAAGTGACATTTGAGAATTTCGGGTATTACAATGTTTTCTTGAAAGTAAACACACAATGGTGCGACATAAATACGGGTTATCTCTTTCTTGAATAAGTAATATTAGTTGCTAATGTTTATTTATTGTCACTATTTTTAAATCGATACGTAATTCGATAAGAGATTGTATGACTTTTATAGAATTGTTATTATTATTATCTGAAACAGGTACAAAGAACTCGTACACTTAATTGCTTTTTTTAAACAGTCATTTATTAATTACCTTGGAGATAACGATCCCAATGAACTGCGCAGTGAATCCCGATGGCGTAACAGATGTCGGATAGACTTTCGGTTATAATACCGACATTAACTTTGCCAACGATTGGTTGATTCCTGCTTCCTTTTGGAAATTTAGACTGAAACGTGTTTGAAAATGTGTCCGAAAGAGGTATCAAAAAGAGTGGATTTGTTATTAATGTTTCTACATCACGTGGCTTGCATTTTTTGTTGAGCCAAATTCTTGTGCAATAATCTATCAATTCTTTGTCTCGTTTCTCAAAACAGGGGCAATGCGATTCAATAAAGTTGTCATGAGAATATAGAACAGTTTGACGCCTGAATTCAATCTGGACGTTCTGCGCTACGTTGTTCTAGGAAATTAATAATACTCCCCCCCCCCCCTCGGCTGTACACTTACAGAGCGTAACTTTATTGGATGTTCTATTCTCATATTTCATATTTGTTGCCAATATTCCATCTCAATCTCTCAAACCGGCTACACAATAAAATAATACATGATATATGATCAAAGCAATCTTGTAAAGAATACGCTAATTGATCACTCATATATCCTTTCGATATCAATTGTTTCAGGAAACCAATGTCGTGCTTCTGTCGCACAACGTTGACCGTTTAACGTTTAGCAAATCGTATTCGCGTATCTAACAAGGACAGACGTTTTTTATGACAGAAGATTTGAGAATGTCATGAGAACAGTAGTTAATTTTCATATACGCACGCTAACCAACATCAGCTAATTAATTGCATGCGTGCCTATACCCATTATAGACCAACAACACACTTTTACTTATCGTTGTGTTTATAGAAAATCATTAAGTAATAACTGCAGGGCAGATAATGCATTTCTATAATTAACATAGTAAAGCAACTAAAATCGTCCCAAGCTAATTCTTCTTGTTTGCGGAGAAAACTAGTCGAACTCGTATATTATTTTACGATACTAGTAACATAGGTAAATTTTCAAAACTCCAAAGATTTGCTTTTCAATGTACTTGGTGATATATATTAATATACCGATTTCAATGATTTAAACTATAAATAGTTGGTCGCATATATCGAGAGCGTTCGCCTGAGAATATTCCTAGTTTTAATCACGACATTTACCGCTAATCTCTGTGGCAATTGCAGGTCAACACTCTGACTACTTATTACAGTCAAACCTCATATAGTAAAGTCAGCGGGACGGGCATTTTTCTTCACTATATCGAAAATTCACTGTATCAAAAATTTTCAATATAATAAAGTTTATACTAATGCTGTTTTTGGATCAGAAGAATTCTTTACTATAGCGCGAAATTCACTGTATCAAGACTTCACTATATCAAGGTTTGACTGTATTATTATTTTCCTATGCTAGACCACAGGCCAACTCATCTCTCGTTAGCTATATTTTTTCCCAAACTCTGTTTTAAGCGATAACTTTTTGTTATCTGATGAATTGTACTAGAACATTTACTAACATATTCCAGATTTGAATGAGTCAAATCGCATATGTGATCAAGATATGGATCTTTGATATTTTATATTAAAAGAATTTCAGTTCGCTCATTAACTACAATACTGTAGTTTATTACTCTTTTGTAGTCTGTTAATTATCACATTAATTAATCTTTAGGACTACGCTGTGCTGAATTGTACCATCAAATTTCGTTCCTGCTATCGCGCCAAGAGCGCTACAGCCTTGAGATTTGGGGACTAAATCCCAAGCTGTTTTGCGCAATCAAGGCTACTATGTTTGCTGACAGTCCCAGACCCGGTGACGTAATAGACATATGATTGAACTGAATTCGCATCTAATAAATGTTATCCACTATTACGCATGATACCAGTTCTAATTTGCCGTAGTATTAATGGCCTTATTACCAAACCTAGTTTATAGATTTTTTTTTGGTATGCTGGACGTATTCGCGCTGAAATATGAGACGTTTTTATACATTATCATCTCATCCATTTGTTTTACCTGCCGACTATTGCCGCTACGCGTACTACAAGCTCGCGATATAAGAAAGTGATCGGGACCCATAGTAAAAAATCTTAGAATCTTTCTTATACCAAAAGTTTATTAGTAACTTTCTTATATAGAGATAGTTTCATATAGACTATTTTTTAGATCAACTTTCTTATATCAAATTTTAATTAGTGTTTCTTATATCGAGAGCTTCTTATATCGAGTTTCACTTGTACTCTTCTACAAAACACTCAATATGTAAATTATGTTTCTTCGACTGGTACAAACAAACTTCTAAGTCTCACTTGCAAAAGAATCAACATTTTCCTTGCCTTGCACCCATACCTCAACTGCCTGCCCCCATTCCAGTCTGGAAACGTCGAACGCATTACGGAAGGTTGTTTTATTGTGACCACATAGGGCTTTTAAAATCTGAAAACACTCATATCATTATATTCTTAATAATGCTTTATTTGCTCCGTATCTAACTAAGCGAAATTTTGTGTCACGTGTTTATTTAGAAATAACGCGACTTGGGAAAGTGTTGTTAGTAAGAGACATATTATACTATGCAATCGAGAGTTTAGGAGGCCTTCTTTGTATCACCAAGTACAAGGGAAAACCATGCAATATTAAAATCAGATATTCTCAGGTGAGCTTACTATACACATTTTAATTTGCACTTTTTAACACATTAGAATATTAATAATGTTTATTTCTTAGAATCTGGCACAACAAATGCATACCAAACAAATAAACTGCAAATCAAGCATTTAATTTGGGACCAATTACTGTATTGCACTGGTTATAGTACCCCTGTTATAGCACGGTTTTAAATGAGGTATTTGACCAATTCACTTGCTCATTACTGAGGGCAAGAATTTCTGCCCCACATTGTATAAAAAACTACTCGTTTATTGGAAAGATATATTATCGTTATTCCTCCGATACGTGTACCTGGGGTATTATTCTCTTGTTCATCTTAGTATCCAAGGTACTCGTATTGATAGTGGGTTACATATGTATCTCGATTTGTTTCTATATTGGCTGCAGATAATCTGAGGCTATAACGATTAATATTAACGCATTATTAGATATAAAAATTCAGTTATTATCGGTAATTATAATTAACACAGATGCATATCTACGTGGCAGTCGTATTAGCAAACAAGAAGCGCGACTTTCCGTTAGAATTCATCACATTCACATATGTTCAATTAATTATAGTAAACGGGTAGTTCTTTATACTCTGAAATACATTATTAATGATTCGTTTCCTGGTAATTATCGGTATAGTTGTGAACCATTAATCCCTTATGTCTATTAGTAATATTCGCTTCTTGTCCCGTGGATATTCTCGTGGCATTACGATTGCTATTCGCTTAAGTGAAAATGCATTTTAGATAGATACAAATAAATCCCATATCTTATCCTCTATGCGACAAAAGGCAACATGGCGCATCCATTGTATCCAAGCGAAAGCAATACCAAGTTCGAGTAAACAGTTGGATGTAAACGGCAAAGTTTTACGCCGCAAACATTACAATAAATTCAAGAAGGTTCCGGAACGACTGATTCAATTTCTTTACCAGATCTCAAAAGTAGTTTCATCTGGTACTTCCAACACTTGGAACTCAAGTTTATATAATACAGTCAATGGCCTGGAATACAACCCACATGGATAGACACTGTGCTTGCACTGTATTCTGATTTGTGAACGTGCTTATAAACATGTGCTTTTGGTTTCAATTGCAAAGTCAATGCCAGCGTTTTACAGCATAGCGGAATCGAGAACAAGCAGTAAAAACGTAATCCATTCGATGAGATGCCTACAGATGAAAATTAGATGAGTTGAATGTAATATTAGCGATGAAGGCTTTTCATCACATGATCTAGACCTGCTTTTTCGTAAGAGCTCTAAATACTTTACCAAGTGTACAAGTTGGGAAAGTTGTATAATAATTCTGTTTTCGTTTATTATCAATAAAATCCAACCAGAAAGTACGCTATGCCTATAGAAGTTAAACCCGACAAGACGAGATCTTTGATAATGTCCAACAGACGAATCTAGGACTATCTCGTTCTGCTTGTCTGTATATATTCATTAGTTCTGTCGATATGATGCTCACTTAGTCTTCTTTGCGCAGGCTCCCACATCGACCAAGGTACCAGCAATTAACAAAGTCTGCGCATCTGGTATGAAGGCTGTTATATGCACAACGCAGAGTTATTGTAGGAGATCGATCGATAACGGTTCCTGGCGGAATGAAACATCTCGAATGCGCGCACTATGTACCTAGAGTCGTTACTTCTTGTTGATGGGATTACAAAGACGGGCTTTGGGATGTGTATAATTAGATAGAGTAAGTTTTTAATGGCAAGTCATAAACATTGATCTGTTTCTGCTAATGAGTTTGTTTGATGTGTTTGATCTAACTTTCACATGTTATTTGTCTGGTATGCTTCTTTCTTTTTGCTGTAATCAAGGTTCATATTCGAATTTGATTTATAGTATCAAAGGCGCGTC